ACTTTCTCTTAAATAAGTGAAATTAAAAAAAAAATAAACACTTCACATATTGAATTGTATTACCTATTTGTATGCCTATTTCTCTTTCAGCACTTGTTTTAAATAAAGAGTCTGTGTCTTATTCACCATTATTTCTCTTGGCACAGAACACAATGGTTATAGGTTCAGCTCATCCTTTTGTTGTTTCTGGGGAAGTGGGATGGCAGATGAGAGCAGGATAACCCTGCCTACGAATGTCTTCATGATGGATTTAACAAGCTGTTCTTTATAAATATAAATACAGTAAGACCTCAACTAGAAGAGCAAGATTCAGGATTTCCCCCTAAAAAGGAAAATTAGGAGGTTAAACACTTTCAGCTTTATGGTAAAAGGAGAATTGGATCCCAAAGTTTGAAGTGATTCTATGAAAGCCTTTATTAATATTTTCTGTATTCAGAGAAAATAGGCAGCTGAGAGCATCCTCAATAAGGAAATACTAACAATGCATTACACATCTTTAATTAGTGGTAATGGGTGCTGTATGTAATTAATTCAAGTTATCATCCCTTCTTCAGTGGAAACATTTCCCCTCCCCGAAGCCTCCATGAAATGCTGTACATTTGTCCTAATTTGCTGCAAATAAGATGCTTTGTTTCCTGACAAGCAAGTATTTGCTGCCTTTCTGATCTTACCCATAGGGGCTGGCCCCTGGATCTTGTACAGGAGAGTGACCCAGAAGATTTGGATGTTTGGGGTAACTGTTTTCCTCTAGTAAGCCTAGTTCAGGAGACATTTCTCAATTCCCTTCCCCAAGACCTAAGACTGAGCAGATATAACCCCATTCCTGCTAACTACAGAGGGACCCACTCCTTACCCAGATCCCAGCTTCTCTGTCCTAACAGACACCACAGTGAACTCCAGCTACCTGCTTTACTTTCCTTCCATATAATTAGCACCACATTCATGTCTTTATTTTCTACCACTAATTCCCATTCTGAGGGTCATAAACTATCTCAAACCTAATGGTCCCTCTTTTATAATTTTTGAAGTTGAGCCATTAACCACCATCCCTCATTCCCTAAAACACATGTGATGTAACCAGCTGATGAAATGTCACATTGCTCTTTTGACAGAGACTTCAGATAATGCACAGGGACATGAACATGGGCTATCTCTTGGATGTGATCACAAAAGAAAATATCTTACATGCTCTAGAACGCAAAGTGTTGCCCAATGTTTCTTTTCCACCCAAAATGTATTCAGGAGGCATAAGAAGAGAAAGAAAGCAGCTATGGAGGAAGACAATAGCAGAACTCAGCTATAAGGCAGAGTCCAGATCAAGAACTAAAATAGCTTTAAACGATCTCCCATGAAACAAATAGACATGGATGTGTATCATTTCTTAACAGTGTGATCTTTTGGCTGCATATAGGGAAAATAAGTCTGGAAATCAGACCTTTGCAGAAATGATGGAAAAGCAGATCTGATATCACTTTTCTTTGGGAAAACCCATTTTCTATACTACATCCAAAGAGAAAAATTTGAAACCCATTATGTCAGGTCCAGCACTGTGAATAGCCATACAGTGTCTCTGCAGGAATTAAAAAATGCTTGCCTATCTCCAGGCAGATGCAACCGCTCATCAGCATCCTGGTAAACAGAACACAGTCCACATTTCAGCCCCTTTGCCCCCTCACCTTTGAGCAGTGAGTAAACATCATCTTTTATAACAATCCTACTCAGTGCTCTACTTAAAATCTTTCTTTTTTTAAAAAAAGATTTTATTTATGTATTGGAGAGAGAGAGCACAAGCAAGGGGAGCGGTGGGCAGAGGGAGAGGGAGAAGCAGACTCCCCTTGGAGTAGGGAGCTGATGCAGGGCTCGATCCCAGGACCCTGAGATCATGACCTGAGCCGAAGGCAGATGCTTAACCGATTGAGCCACCCAGGTGCCCCTCTACTTAAAATCTTTCAACTGTTATTGCTTTCAAGATAAAATTCAGGTTCCATATTATAGTCCCAATCTTACTCTCCTCTCCTTCTCAAACTCTGATTGGACAAATGTGAGAACTTTTACCCTGTCTTCCGTATCTTTTAATTTCCCGTTTATGTTTTCCATTTCTCTCTGTGCTACCCTCTGCATAATGACTTCAGATCGATCTACCAGCGCATTAAATCTTTCTTCAGCCATGCCTAATGCAATGCTTAATATGTCCACTGAGTTAATTTCAATCACTGATTTTATTTCTATACGTTCTAATTTTAAAATCTGCTGTTAGTCGTTCCCACCACTAGAAATTATATTAATGTGACACAATAGGGTGAGCTAACACAACAATGGCAATCATATTGTAAAATAAGTGTCAAATGAATATGCTCTACACCTGAAATGTACACAATGTTATACATCAGTTCTAGCTCAATAAAAAAAAAATTGTCATTGTTTTGCTAGTGTTTCCTCTTTCAAGCTTATCTATTTGTTTCTCATCTAAGAGGCAGAGTATGTTTAAAAATAATTTCTTTTTAAAACAATTTCTTTTGGATAATTTCAGCATTTGAAATTTTACAGGGCTGTTCTGCCCTGTTTTTTTTTCTATCGGTTTTCACTCATGGCACTTAGTTTACTCGAATGTGTGTGCATGCATTCATTTATTGCTGTGAGCTATGCATTTTCCTTGAGAAATTATTTGAGGGAATTACTTGAGGCCAGGGATGAAAGTGTGATTCTCTGAGATGTACATTGCTTTTGCCAGATTCATGAAGATAACTAAGAGTCTGGGACAACTTTAAAATGAAGTCATAGCTTAAGGTTTTCTGAAATACCCAGGTGATGTGAATTTGGCCCACGAATCCATGGGAGGAGCTGCTTTCTATCACGGCTTTTCTGGGCCAGGGGTTTAATTCCTCCTGATATGCTTGGGTCCAAGAAGAATTTCCTTGGGGGTGAGGGTGGGAGGGTTGGGTTATTTCTGGCTCATCATTAGACATTTAGGGGCTAGGTCCTTAGGATCCCAATTTAATGTGCAGAAGATGTCCTGCTAGACTCCTGAGCTTTGTCTTTTGTGGCTCTTTATCCAAGAGGGCCCGACACCTGAAGTTCAAGTTCAAACAACACCCCCCCCCCCCCCCAATAAAAAACATCCTCTGTGTTCTGCTTATTTTTCTGGGTTTCTGCCTTTTCTCAGATTTTAGCTTAATAGTTCTTTTTGGTCATATCAGTTGTTAAATGCTTTCAAGAATATTTTTTTGTTTTTGTTTTAAAGATATTATTTGTCAGAGAGCGAGAGAGCATGAGCAGAGGGAGAGGGAGAAGCAGACTCCCCGCTGCAGGGAGCCCAATGCAGGACTCAATCCCAGGACCCTGGGATCATGACCTGTGCTAAAGGCAGACGCTTAACTGACTGAGCCAGGCAGGCATCCCAAGAATATTTTTTAAATATATATTTTATCCAGGCTATTTTTAGTTTTCTGCAGGAGGGCCAGTCAGAACTTCCTGTCAGCCTTGGTACCAGCAATGAAAGTGATCTCAGTGTGTGACCTTGGGTAGGTTACTTAACCTCTCTGTGCTCAGTCTGCTCCTCTGTAAAATGGAGACTATAATAGAGCCTGGTTCAAAGAACCGTTATGACACATACATAAAACGACAAACGTATAGTGCTTACAACAATACCTGACACACAGCTAACACTCCATGTGTTGTCTCTGCTTTTCCAACCTCCCATAACCTCCTCCACGGCTGTCAGCTATTGTCACTTGTCACTCAACACCCCTTCAGGGCTTTTTGTCACAGGTGAACCGAATGGCTTCTATGGCTCTTAGGTAACATCTGTCCCCCCATCTGGACTCGTCTGGAGGAAGGAGGGGCTGTATCTGAGTGTCCATCTATAGTTTCTAGTATAGGACATGCTGTTTTAGGCACTCACCAAACATCTGTTGAATGAATGGATACGTACTTCCACATTTTCTGAGGGAGCACATGCAGAATGTGGACCGTCTCTAAGTAGAGAAGGCTTTAACGGAGACTTCCTAACTCTGGTTAAGCACAGAGCTCTGGAATTGGGCCAGGTGTGAAGATACTAACCTTTTGTATCTGTTTCCCAATCTGCAAAATGGGGACAATAGCACCTATGTTGTAGGTTAAGTAAGCACTCAGTACAGAGCCCAGCCTGTAAGAACATGACAAATGCTAGCTGCAATTATGTCCCCTATCTTTTTTTTTTTTTTTAAGATTTTATTTGAAAGAGAGTGAGTGAGTGAGAGCATGAGCAGGGGAAGGAGGAGAAGCAGACTCCCCGCCGAACAGGGAGCCCGATGCAGAACTCGATCCCTGGACCCTGGAATCATGACCTGAGCCAAAGGCAGTCGCTTAACCAACTGAGCCATCCAGGTGCCCCTATCCCTTCTTTTTTGGTTACTCAAGAAGACAGTCCAGTTTAAGAAAGTGTAGGCTAAAAGAAATAAGGACTGGGGATCATCCTGAAAGGTGGAATGTGTCGATGCTTTAGCTTTTCTGGTTTCTGAAAACGTGTGTGACATGGTGTTTAGATGAAAAGCAGAAAAGGGTTTCTTGTGTGCCCATGCTGTTATTCTTTGCGTTCTCCAGGGTGTTAACTCTGGCGCTTAACTAGAAAAAAAGGTACATGTGTGTAGAGAAAGAGCCTGGGGCTCCTCATACGCCATCGGGTTTCACCATTGATTTATATTTAGTGAAATGGATTACAGACTTCTAGAAAAGTCACCAGAGCCAAAAACTGGAGTGTCCTGAGGAACAGGACGAAGGGAATCCATTTCTGAGGCTGAAAATACGTGCTTCCTGGGCCTGTGGGGAATAAAATCCTAGTCACTTTAAGTGCAAGCTGAAAATAGTTTTTTTTCTGTGTATCAGCCTTCAGACAGGTCTTAGTACCTTACAGCTCTAGGTGTCAGTTGATTTTCTTTTGTGTAGACCTTACTCATCAGCATTTCAAATGTCACCATTAGTGTATACTCCAACCTCCCAGTCCGGTTTCTGTATCGTCCTTACCTGTCTCGGGGATGTTCTGGGAGTGAGTTCGGTCCTCAGGTGCGCCCCAGGTCAGCTTTTCTTACCTCAAGGTCGAAAGGAAGACGGCAGGAATGTGGTGGTTATTTGATTTGAAATAAGCTGCAACAAAGTAAAACAAACAACAACAAAAAACCCCCAAACGAATGAAGACATGTTCCTGCTGGAGGAATGCCCCTGTCAGCCAGCTTGGGCTGCGATCACACCGCCCACGCAGCCGAAGGGAAGAACTAGCACGCTTGGGGTGATTTGTAGCACTTTTTAAAAAATGCTGATTTCAACTGAGGAATCGTCACATTCGAACCAAATGACGACTAACTGTCCTTAAAATTAACTGAGAGCAGCACTTCTCACCTTAACTGCATATTACAGTCTCCTAGAGGATTTTCAAATATTGATGCCCTGCCCCACTCCCAGCTGGCTTAAATTCGCATCATGGAGGTAGGGCCCCGATACTGATATTTATAAGTCTTCCCAGGTTATTGTGATGCGCTGCCAAGGCTGAGAAGTGCTGACCTAGCCTCTTGTTATTGTGGAGAAAATCCTAATAGCCCTTAGGCTTGACAAGCATTTTCCCAGCTGATGGTACGAGAGAGATGATCCCCGATTTACAGATGAGAAAAATCAAGTGTCCAAATTATTTACAGGTTTATTCAAGGTTTAGGTTAATCACTGCTCAGTGTCAGAATGTGATCAATACCTTTGAGGAGAACACCCCTCCTTAACTTTTCCTTGGTCCTCAGTAAAGGACACTTGAATCACAGATTTTTAGACTAGAGAAGGACCTCATTTGAAGTGAGTAAACAAGGAATCAGAGAAGAGTAGGAGCTGATCTCTGCCAGCTTTATGTTTCTTGAGCTCCCTTGGACCATGCCCTAAACAAACATTTGATAAGTGGAACAACGTGACCAAGACCACACAGCCCCCACACCTGGCCTCTGGTCAATGGTTGCCCTACACCTGCACCCTCATTTGGAGGCTTGTAATGTGTGTGACACGGTGTTTAGATGAAAAACCCATAGGGGTTTTTGCTCAGCCACTGTCAGCTTCCTGTTTCCCATGGTGCTTCTCCCCAGCATTCCACATTTCATTCATTTCTCCCTGCCCTGTTTGTGGACAATGTTCTCTCTGGAGCTCTGCTTCAGTTTTGGCCACTGCTCCACCTCCTCGTCTGCTTGGCATGTCTCTGAGGAGGGCCGAGCTTGGGGCTGGTGTGTATGAGTCTGTGTCTGTGACAAACTGGGGGTCTCTGGTACCTCGGGGCAAGAGTGGGGCTGTGTCGAGGTCGATCCTATGAGGTGCTGCATGGGGCTTGGGAATGGAAAGAGGCGCTGGAACACTCCACTGTTGTAGGCACTCAGTGCAGGACCTCAGGTGGGAGAGGTAGGAAGTTATATATAGGTCTGGACGACAATATCACCATCAATTAGAGGAGAACCAGCCTGCCTAGGAACCTAAAGGGAAAATGAGTCACATCCTGAGTAGACAAACCCCCGTCTTGGAGAGCTGGAGATCTCTTGACATTGAGAGGCTATTTATGGGACTGTAGACAGTATGCTATGCATCCTCCAACACAGACTTCTTGAGGCCGGGCACTGCCTTGCTGTTCGGCTGGAAGCTCAGAAAATCGCTGTGGAAGGTGCGCGTCACTAGATGCGGTCACTGTATTGCAGACGCAGACAGACATTGCAAGGCCTATCAAGTTGCTGTTGAGTCGCACTTGTCTAGGTTCTAGTCCTGGCTGTGTGCCCTCGAGCTCGCTCCTTAATTTCTCTGGGCCTCAGTTTCCTTTTCTGTAAAATACTATCTACTGTATAGGATGATTGTCGCTACTCTTATTTTGAAATATAATTGAGATATAACATTATATGCATTTCATATGTGACAAATGATTTGCTACTTGTATATTTTGGGAAATGATCACCCCAGTAAATCTAGTTTACATCCATCGCCACACAGTTACAATTTTTTTTCTTGTGAGGAGAAATGTTAAGATTTACTCTCTTACTGACTTTTTTTTTTTAAAGATTTTTTATTTATTTATTTGAGAGAGAGAGAGAATGAGAGAGAGCACATGAGAGTGGGGAGGGTCAGAGGGAGAAGCAGACTCCCCGCCGAGCAGGGAGCCCGATGCGGGACTCGATCCTGGGACTCCAGGATCATGACCTGAGCCGAAGGCAGTCGCTTAACCAACTGAGCCACCCAGGCGCCCTCTTACTGACTTTTAAATAGACAATACAGTATTATTAACTATAGTCACCATGCTGTACTTAGTTTATAAGTCCCCTGACTTATAACTGGAATATTGTAGCTTTTGACTACCTTCACTCATTGTTACTATATTTTACACAAAAAACACTCATTAAATTCCCCATGTATAGATTTTTGTATTTGTACTAGGACAAAATGAGATATGCAAAACAAAACACCAAAAAAACAAAACTTAAAGTGAACTTTCTTTGACTATGCATCTTATTATCTGGCAACCCATAATAGAATGTAAACATAATTAATATATATATTTTAAAGATTTTATTTATTTATTTGACAGAGAGAGAGCACAAGTAGGCAGAGTGACAGGCAGATGGAGAAGGAGAAACAGGCTCTCCGCTGAGCAGGGAGCCGGATGTGGGGCTCGATCCCAAGACCCCAGGATCATGACCTGAGCCGAAAGCAGCCGCTTAACGGACTGAGCCACCCAGGCGCCCCAACATAATTAATATTAATTATGGTCCCTGAGAGCACCTTCTGAATTGTCAGTATAAATGGCAATGTCGTATTTAGTATAGCTTATGAATTGTTTTATTTATACTGAATTCCTATTGTTAGAAAATAATAATGTAAGTGTGTTATATGATGTCTTCCTGCTTATTTAAATATTTAAGTAATCTGAGAGTCAAATTTAGGAACTGTGCTGAAGAATTCAGAGTTGCAAATATGGTTCCATTTTCTAAAGCAGTGAAAAATGGGAGTAGAAGCAAGAAATGGAATCAGAGGAGGGATTCTGGCTATCTTTCTGGAAGGCTCAGAAAGAGCCTTTGTCTTTGTAGCTGATGGGTTGTGTGTATGTGTATGTGTTTCTTAAACTAGGATTCAGGAGATACTAATGAAATCACTTCAAAATGAGCTTGTAGCTACTGAAATAAAAAATTTTGGAAATAAGAGCTAACGTCCATAAATTACAGACCTAATGGGGGCAAAGAACATTAGATTTTTATTTTTATATTTTACAAAACTGTGATAATGACATTATAAAATTTTGTAGTATTTTTTCACTTTACTACCTCAAAACACACTTTACAATCATGAGCTAATAAGCCTTAAAACTACCCGTGCATGACATTACTATCAGCATCTCTATTTACTGCTGGGAGGATGGGAGATAGAGGAATTAAGTGATATATCTAATTAGGGGTCAGAAGTCTTGGATATTAGTTTTCAATTTTAACTAATCACTGAAACATTATTTGGGCAAACACACACACACACACACACACACAGAACTCTTGAATAACTTTTTTGCCCAAGTATTTATTTCAGAACAGTCTGGTCATCACAAAAAATTCTGGCATTTTCTTCTCTTCATAAAAATTGTTGCCATGGAAATATTTCAGTTCCCCATGTCCTTCAATTGCCTGCATCTGAACAGGTCATGAACAAGCATATTAACTGAGGTCCAAGGCCAAGTCTTTTATAATGGAAGTAAGGTTTGTAAGCGGCTGCATCACAGAGCTTTCCCAAGTCCATTTCTTCAGGATAAGGAGAGAATAATGGAACTCTTCATGAGGCTGTGTTCTCTAACCATGGTTTCTTCTGCTAACTGGCATATATCTCTGCCTCCATCCAAGACAAATACACTAAATCCATGACTGATTCCCATGCAGAAGTCTTACTTTCTTTTGATCGGCTAATGAATATGGAGTTGTGTTTACTAGAAATGCCATGGTATCTCTTAGAGACTATTTTCACCAAACATTGGGAATTGGTGATATTTTTCCAGGCAGTTCAGACCATTGCTTACTTTTTCATCAATTGATTTTGTTAACTGGTAAATCATTCCTTTCATTCCTGGGGGACCCGACCACTGCATGATTTTATAGCCACGGCAAAAGCACTCTCCTTCCTTGCCCTGGGGTAGGAGCTAGGCATCATGTTCCATGAATTTGTTGAAACCCAGTGGGTGCAAGAGGAATAATGAAATTCAGCTCTGAGCAGGAATGTTTTATATCCTGAATGAATAAGAAGAGGGAGATTGAAGCGCCATCGCAATTCAAGCCTGGATCCACGATTTCTATACATCGTTTTATTTCATTCTGATACAGGGTCCCTCCCAGCTCCTGAGCTCTATTTGGTTTAATCTAGTTTTGCAAAACTAGATTAAACAAGAAATGAATTTTGTGTTGAGATTTTCACAACCACTCCAGAACTGGGTGACATCGGGGAGGGGTCAACACAGGAACTGCAAAATTGGCTTTGGAGACCGTGAATGCTACCTGTATCTTCGTACGTATTTGTGGGGGAAAACAAGACGTGGGAAGAAAAGGTGCACACACCTGTAGGCAGACACGTACGTGTGTGTACACAGAGTTGGGTCTGGAGCAAAATATGAAAAGGATTGTGTTTATGCTTTAAGAGAAAGACAAGAAAGGTTTGTCTAAACCTGCAGCATTCATAACATGATAAATCACTCACATAATGTCCTTTGTAATGCTGGATCCACGGGCAAGAACAAAGAGCTCATGAGACTAGGTTAGACTGGGGACACCTGAGCCAGTTCTCTGAGAGCAGCACAAGTCCTTGCAGTTGCCCTCGTGGTGTGAACTTCGAAATGTTAAGGGCCCCAGTGAGGTCCCACCCAGGTTGTGGTACTCAGTAAACGTCTGCTGTGATGACGCAAGGCTCTCTAAATCTGTCCTCCACTCACTCAACTAAACATTTCTTGAATTCATTTTCATTCTGAGGCTGTATCCCTTCTGGGGCTAAGTTTCAGAAGCTTACTGTCCACGGTGTCTGATATTAAACGACTTCTTTTAAGCTTCAACAGGTGTTCTCTGGGAGTGTTCTCTTGGGTGTTCTGGAATTTAATGAACAGACTCATCTTC